CCCGGCAGCTGATTATCTTCAGATATGCAAAATCATGCAAATGAGTCCATAAAGATTGTAATTATGCTGAAGCAATTAGCTGCTCATTAACGTCAACTTCCTGCTCGACTATTTTCACGACCGTCCCTCCTTCGGCGGCGAGCGGGAAGGACACGTCCCCGTCCCGACATTCCCGGGATTCCCGGAGATTTCCCGAAGATTCCCTTGTCCCCAGCCCGGGATCCCTCTCGGGTCCCTCCGAGGGCCGTGGGATGTCCCCAGAGGGCCGGACACACCTGGGGTGGCACCGCCCCAGCGGTCACTGCACGGCTCGGATGGAGCTGCCGCGCTCCCCCAGAGGAGTAAGGCTGATGAAGATGAAGATGAATAAGGCTGATGAAGAGCTCGGAAATCCTCAGGAAAAGAGGAAATGAAACCTCGGGAGGTGTCAATGCGCAGACAAGATTGGGAAATGCCCGTGGGAGTCCTTTGTGACAGCCGGGACACAGCGGAGCCGCTCCGCGCTGCCAGGAGCTGCCACTCCTCGTTTGTATCCGCAGCGATATCCCAAATCATCCCTCACGTGGCAGCTTCCATTCTTTCATCTCTTTCCTTCTCGTTCCTTCTCGTTCCTTCTCTTTCCATCTCTTTCCACCTCTTTCCTTCTCTTTCCTCTCGCTGGGAACTGCCGGTGTTGGAATTATTCAGTTCTGCCCGAGGCACTGACGCGCATCCCGGAGCTGGGAGCGGGGTGTGCGGGTGTCCTGCCACCCTCGGGGACAGCGATTTGTCACCCTGCTGGGATCCAATGCTGACATTAGAGCTGGCTGCACTTCCAGACACAGCAAAGGGATGGACTGGGGAAGTCACGGCTCGTCTGCCACCTCTCTATGGGACATTCAGGCTGCTCCCCCCGAGCAGTCCCAGGGGAATGAGGGAAGGAGCTGGATCCAGGCTGGGAAGGGAAGGTGGAGCAGGAGAGGCTGGGGACACGTCCCTGTCCCGTGTCCCAGACAGGACAAGGGGAATGTGAGGGCAGGGGCAGGGCAGGACAAGCCAGCCTTTGGGGTTTCTGTGCAGTTATTTCCCCTCGAGGAGTTTCCTTCCATGCACTTCCCACTTCCCACGGAAATTCCCGCAGCCAGAAGCTCCATGGAGAAGGAAGAGCTGCTCCCCTTGATCTGCTTCGAACCTGACCCCTAAATCCTGCTCTGGAGGAGAAGCCACAGGACAAATCCCCATTTCCATCACTTTTCCCTGCAGGAGCGAGGAGATGCTCCCGGAGAGGGCTGGCAGAGCTGCACGTGGCTCTTCCTCATCCCATTTGGATTTCATCTCCATTTTATTTGGGCAGGATGACCACAGAGCCAGGACCTGGCCAAATCCTTAAAGTTGGGATGTTTGTTTTCCAGAGCCGGCTCTGTTCCCTGCTCCAGGTCAGCGAAGCCGGGGCTGGGGCACAGCAGAGGAGGAAAAGGGACAATCCCGAGGTGGGAACCATCACCGCCTCGGGCTTTGGAGCTGCCACTGCCCCACCGTGGCACTCGGAGCATGGAAAAGCTGCTCACCGAGCCAGGGATGAGCTGCCAGGAGAGTCTGGGAGCTGGGAAAAGGAAAAGAGCCCGGGAAGAACAAATTTCCCAGTGTGGGGTTTGAAGGAGGGGTGCAGCAGCAGCTCCTTGTGCTCTGTGATTACCAGCAGGGAAACAGAGCTGAGACTGAGAGCTGCTTTCATGCAGCAAAAAAACCCCAAAACATGGAGAATCCAGTGGCCAGAGGCTGGAATTAGCAAAAGCAGAGATGTAGGATGCAAATAAGGCTGGAGATAATGAACAGCCTCGATAATGAGTGAGTGAGGAGGGCCCAGGCTCACGTTGTGCCTCTCATCCTGTCCCAGGGCAGGGCTGGTCCCCAACCCCTGGGAGCTGATCTGGGATTCACCCAGATATGGGAACACACAGAAAGGTCCTGACCAGGATATTTTCCACCACACAGACTCCAAATTCCCAGTTCAGCTTCACAGGGAGAGTCACATGGACTCAAACCCTTTTAAAATCAGGGAATCACAGAAGATCTTGAGCAGGGAGGGACCCCCAGGGATCATCAAGCCCTCAGCACCCCAAAACCCCCCTGTGCCTCAGAGAATTGTCTCAGTGCTCCTGGAGCTCTGTGGCTGTGACCCGGGGCTGTTCTGCTCCCAGAAATCCCAGTTACCCCAGCCCTG